AAAAAAAAAAAAAAAAAAAAGTCAACTTAAACAGAATATTTAAATGAAGTTCAAAGTGCTATAATACCCAAAGTGTCTTGATTGCATAAAAAAATTAATAAAACACTAATGCACTGCCCTTGAGTTGGATCAGACTCATAGCAACCCCTCCTTGGTTTTCTGAGGTGGTATCACTGGGGAAGAAGATTGTCCATACAAAAAAAGTGGGAAAACCACACCATGAATGAAAAAGAAAATATGTGTCAACACCAAGGTGACAGAGAGTTTAGAATTATCTGATGAATATTTTAAAGCAGTCATCATAAAAATGTTTCAATAAGCAATGATAAACACAATTGAAATAAGTGGAAACAAAAGAAAATCTCAGCAAAGTATTAGGAAATATAAAAAAATCAAATGGAAATTTTAGCAATAATCACAATACAAACACACAATCAATGGATGAGCTTAAGAGGAGAATGGAGTAATTGAAGTCAAGAACAGTGAACTGAGCATAGAACCATAGAAATTGCTTAATCTGAAAGAAAAGATACTACAAATAAATGAACAGAAACACTCCCCCACCTCAAAGAGAGAGAGCATAATCTCTTACTCCTTAAGTGTGGGCTTCCCATGGTGATTTTCTTCCAAAGAGCAATGTATGGAAAGGAGAACAAAAGACTAACTTTATACTTGAGAAAATTGACAAATACTGTGTCAGCCAAATTATCAAGATCAACATCAGCAGTTATAAGTTAGGTTGATTATAAGTACTCTTCATAGGATGTGAAAAGAATAACATCTTTTTCCTATGGTCTTCCACAAAAAAATCCATAACCTCAGTCTAATCATGACAAAAACATGAAACAAATCTTAGTTGAGGGCAATTTTACAAAATACCTAACCAGAACAACTCAAACTGTTAAAATAATTAAAAACAAAGTCTGAGAAACTCTAAGAGCCAAGGGGAACCTAAGAAGACATGAGTGCTAAACGAGCCTGTGGTACCCTGGATGGGATCCTGGAATAGAAAAAGTCTGTTACCTAAAAAACTAAAGAAATATGAATACAAAATATATCTTAGTAAAAAATCATGTATCGATATGAGTTTAGTAGTTGTGACAAGTGTAACATACTAATGTAAAATTTTAATAATAGATGGAACTGAGTGGGTATATGAGACCTCCTTACTATATTCAATGATGGTTTTCTGTAAATCCCCAAAAAAATAATAATGTAAATAATGATCAGACCTAAGAGATCTATTGAACTCTCACAAAAGATCTAACATTTGTATCATCAGAGTCCCAGAAAGAGAAGAGAATAAGGATGAACTTGAAACCACTTGAAATAATGGCTTGAAAATGTCCCAAATTTAGCAAAAGCCATACATCTACAGATTCAAGAATTTGAGCAAACTTTAGTCATGATAAACCCAGAGAAATACATACACAATGGTCAAACCACTGATAACTGAAAACAAAGAAAATATGTTGAAAATAGTAAAAGGGAAATATACTACTTACAAAGGAAAAAATTATTCAAAGGGAAGTGGCTTTATCATCAGAAGTCATGTTGGCCAGAAGTGCACCACTTAAGTCAGGTGTGGAAAGAAAAGAACTGTCAGCTCTAAATCTCATAACCAACTAACCTATACTTCATGAATGAACAAGAAATAATGACATCATCAGGTCAAGAAAAACAGATAATTTTTCACCAATAGACTGAAAAAAAATCGGATAAAAGAAGGAACAGAACAGAACCATTAAAAGAAGGGTTCTTGAAACATTTGGGAAAAAGAACTAGTAAGCATAAATATAAGTGCATGTCATGCAATAGACTTTCTGTCATCTTTTGAATAGTCTAACCCATGTTTGATAGTTGAAGAAAATTATAACACTGTCTAATGTGATTTGAAAGGTATTTACAGGAAGCATTTTAGGCAAATTATTGCTGTTCGAGAGTAAAAGCACATAAAAATTTCTATGCTTCACTTGAACTAGAAAAATAACAATAGTAGACTATGATAAATTATGTCATATAATACAATATTTAGAACAACTTTTACAAATGCTATTCAAAGAAATACATTCTAGCACTATGGTTAAATCAAAATGACATCTTAATACATATCCATGTGACCTACAAGAAAACAAGAAAAGGGAAATAGGTAAACATCAGAAGGAACGAACAGAAAACTAAATTAAAACGGCAAATATAAGCCACAACACATTCATAATTTCATGAAATGTAAATGATCTAAATATACCATATAAAAGATTATATTGGCAGAGTGGATTAAAAAAATAAAAACCTCAAGTATATATTGTCTAAAAAAGAACTCATTTCAAATACAAGAGTATATAACAATAGTAGAGGCACGAATGAAAAAGGATGGATAATGATATATCATACAAATATTAATGAAAAGAAAGCAGAAGTGGCTTTTAGCTATCAGATAAAGATGTATTATACAAATATTAATAGAAAAGAAGCTAAAATGGCTTTCTGACAAAGAGACAGCAGAGAAAGAGAAGGACATTCATTGTAATACAATGTCTGTCTTACGCTGAGTTCTTACAAGATGACAAGATGGTTTCCTTTCACACAGTGATCTTTCCTTTGATGAATTTAATTTTCCATGAGGAGTTTATTGAATAGACATGTATTCAGCTCAGTGGATTTTATAATGAATACTCAAGAAGGGGGAATACTAGCTGGAAGTCATTCATTTACTTAGCAAATACTATCAAAAAAACCCCAAACTCACTGCCTACAGTTGGATCCGGCTCATAGTGACCCTTCCTTGGGTTTCTGAGGTGGTATCACTTTGGTAGCAGAGTGCCCAATCTTCCTTTCGAGAAGTGGCTGGTGGGTTTGAACCGCCAGCCTTCTGGTTAGCAGTCAAGTGCCTTAGGCACTATGCTACCAGAGCTCCCATCACATTTTTAGGCATTATTTTACCCACCTGACAAATGGGAAGAATTCAATAAAAAACTAATATCTGCTAAATGAATGAATAAATTTCATCTGGAAGGAATCAAATAGATGGCAATGAGTTTGGTTTTTAATTTATTGTAGGCAGTGAGGAGAGAGTTATGTGTACTGAGAGAAAAATCCTTGGTTCATTTAAAGAATACAAAGAAAATCAAACTGGTTGGAGTATGAGTATTTGTGAGAGATTTAAGGGTTAAATTTTATGTGACTGTAAGTGTCAAATTGAATAAGGTCTTTTAAGCTGAGATAAAAAGTTTGTTTATACTCTAACTGCAATAGCTCTTGTTGCACAGGGGCTAAATCATTCAACTGGTAATTGACAGATTGGAAATTCAAATTCACCAACTGCTCCACTCTGGGAGCAAGATGAGGTAGTCTTCTTGCATAAAGATTGCTTTCATAAAAATTTACAGCCTTAGAAAGCCTATAGGGAAGTTCTACTCTGTCCTATTTGGTTGCTATGCACTGGAAGCTACTCCACAAGGGGAGTGGTTTATTTATTTATTTATAATTCTGATAGGAATTCATTTTAAGATTAAAGTATAAGAGTGATGCTATCCACCACCAACTTGATTGTCTTCTCTGTGACTTAGCACAACCTACTCAAGAGTCTCAACAGAAATCAAAAAACTGTAAAACCACTAAAACACAAATGTCCTGATGGCAAGAATGTTAAGAAAAAAATATTTTTTTTTTTCTATTCAAAATTTGGTAGAGGGATAAGACAGGAATCTAACATGTTTAATGGAAAAGTGTTGGGAAATTGTTTCATTTCAAGTAGGTCAGATGAAGTCATGCCATTTTTGCTTCCAAGGAGCGTTCTGGCTGCACTTCTTCCAGGACAAATAAAAATTGTAGTTTTCTATAAATCTAACAAAGAGAGGATGAAACACTGAAAACTTATTATACTGATCTCTAAAGAGAGATGAGAATTTTTGCAGCCTCCATACTTATGGGAAAGTGACTAATCCGGTATTGGGACATGTTAGGAATGGTCTTGCCACAGATTGAGATAGTTGTAGGGATGTGGAGAAACAAGCTGAGTTTTTAATAGTATGTGGGGTGTATCTCACTTACTGCTGTCAAGTAGACTCTGACTAACAGTGACCCCTTCTTGGGTTTCCGAGGCGTCATCTCTATGGAAGTAGATTGCCCAGTCTTCCTTTCCAGGAGTGGCTGGTGGGTTTGAACCACCAACCTTTTGGTTAGAGGTCAAATGGCTTCGGCATCTGTAAAAGCTTCAATCATAAAAATAAATAGCTCACTTTTATAAATTCCTCTCATCTGATACCCATGTCAATAATTTGTCTAGAAAAAGAGTAGCAGAGGAAGACATGCAAATCAGAAAGAATTTTCAGCCTTCCTGATGAGGAGAAAATGTACTAGATGGAAATTTGGATTTACAAGAAGAAATTACAAGGACTGGAAATGGTAAACAAGTGTGTAAATATGGACAGAGATTATTTTTATCTTATTTTAAAAGATAATTGACTGTTTAAATAAAGCATTACAATGTATTATGAGGGTTTTAGAAGCTGTAGTGGCACAGTGGTTAAAGCATTTGGCTGCTAAACAAAAGGTTGGTGGTTTGAACCCAACAACTTCTCTGCAAAAAAAAAAAGATGAAGCAGTCTGCTTCTATAAAGATTTACAGCCTTGGAAACCCTGTGGGGCAGTCCTTCTCTGTCTCATAGGTCACTATTCATTACAATTAACTGGATGGCAGTGGGTTTATTGAAGTTTTAACAAATCTGGAACTAAAAAGGAATCTTGGTGGTGAAATAGTAAGCACTCAACTGCTAACCGAAATGTTGGCAGCTCAAACCCACCAATCACTCCATAGGAAAAAAAAAAAAAAATGGCAATCTGCTCCTGTAAAGATTGTTGTTGTTGTTGTTGTTATGTATCATGGAGTTGGACCCGACTCATGGTGACCCCTCCTTGGATTCCAAGGTGGTATCACTAGGGAGGTAGATTGCCCAACCTTCCTTTTGTGGAATGGCTGGTGGGTTTGAATCACCAGCCTTCTGGTTAGCAGTCAAGTGTCTTAGGCACTACGCTGAAAAAAAAAAGAAAAAAACTCACTGCCATCAAGTTGATTCTACTCATAGAGACCCCTCCTTGGGTTTCTGAGGTGCTATCTCTATGGGAGTAGATTGCCCAGTCTTCCTTCTCAGAAATTCTGTAAGTCAGTTCTAATCTATCCTATAGGATCTTTATGAGTCTGTATTGACTCAATGTCACAAAACAACAAGTGAAATATATATATCAGCAATTGCACAAAAAACTTAAGGAAGAATAAAAGGAACTGTATTTTTGTAAAGCTTTTACATTATCTATGACCTATCCTTAAATAAGGAGCTCTGGTGGTGTAGTGCCTCAGGCATTTGAAGGCTAACCAGAAGGCTAGCCATTCAAACCCACCAGCCACTCCTTCGAAGGAAGGTTGGGCATACCTCGGTTGGGATACCACCTCGGAAATCCAAGGAGGGGTCGCTATGGGTCAGATCCAACCTGATTGGAGTGAGTTTGATTTTTTTGGTTTATCCTTAAATAATTATTCAAGGTGAACTCTGGTAAGTTAAAGATGCACCCTGTAATCATTAGACTAACCACTAAATAAGTAAATAAATAAAAACAAGGAAATTTAGATATAAAGCCTTTCGAGGAGAGAAAATGAAATACTAAATTATACTCAATTGACTCAAAAGAAGAAAGAAAGCAGAAAGGAACAAAGGAGAGGAGAGATCAAAAGCAAATACCAGTGGTGAAATATACCCAAACAGATAGAAAGCAGATACCAAATACCAACAATAACATTAAATATAAATGGACCAAACACGCCAAAACATCAAAAGTGGAGATATTTGGACTGTATGCATATTATATATTAAATATTTAAAGTTTATAAGAGAACCCTGTATAAATATATACATATGTTGAAAGTTAAAAAGTGAAAACTACTATATCATGCAAACATGATTCACAGTACATGGAACACTTGCTATACTATAAGGTCAAGTAAACTTCAAGTACCCCTGGGGTATTGCTAAATATTTAGAAAAAAAGTATTTCATAATGGTAAGAATGTGAATTCATCAATACAATGTAATACTACCACATATGTACTCCTATGATATTAGAAATTAAAAGTTTATTAACTAAATTTGCTGTTGTTGGGTGCCATTTGGTTTGATTTAAGACTCATAGTGACCCCACGTAGAACTGCCCTGTAAGGGGTTTCTCGGCTGTCATATATACAGTTCGTTCCTCTGGCTGTCCATGGCACCTGACAACAACAATCTTTCCAGGGGCAGATCTCCACGACTTTCCTCTGCAGAGTTTCTATGTGAGTTCAAACTGCCTACCTTTCAGTTAGCAGCAACTGCTTAACTTTTCTGCCACCAGAGGTCCTTAAACTAAATTTAGAAATTGGACATATCTAAACATAAAAATTGAGAACCCAAAACTCATATTTTGACATTTTAATACATTTTCTTTAAAATTAATAAAGCAAATGGGCAAAAATTGGTAGGAAGATTTGAAATCTATCCATCAATTTGACCTACTACAACCGAAACTATAGAATAGCCATTCTTTTCAAATGTGCATGGCACTGTCACCAACATAGACCACATTTTGGACCATAAAAAAGTCTCAACATATTTCATACAGATTATATTCTTTGACTGCAATGGAGTTACAGAATAAATAATGAACATATAATTAAA